TTTTAATTTCGTACTGAGTTAACTAACAGGTATACACAACTTATAACAACTCGTGAGACTTATTAAAATAATTGCACACGAACACACCTTGTGTCACCCGACTTAAATGATGAACTTTTTAGTGTATACATTTTCTCTGCACACTAATTATCACTAATTATATGCAGTTCATATTTACTACACATAAATAAAAAAACACTTTAAAAAATTTGTATTTGATTTTTGTAAAGTGTGAAATTATTACTTAATTATTATTATTAGGTAATGGAGTTTGTGTTTAAGGTGCTCTGGTGTAAGATTTATTACAACGAAGGCACTTATTTCGGCCATTAAGATAGCTGACACAAATAAAACAGTTGTCATGGTTATATATACCAGGTTTTGACCACATTGTTAAACTTCCAAAAGGCATAACGGTACGCTTGTCACAATCCTAATATCATAGTTTTTTCGACGGTAATCTTTAATATTATGATTGTATAAAATATTTGAAAATTCTATTCTCTTGAGAAAGGTATATTTTATTATTCCCTTGAAAACTCAATTTTTGAATTTTAACTTATTATTACCAGGGATACAGATGGTAATAATCTAGGAGAAAAGCACACTCAATTAACATAATATAGTTGAAAAATAAAAAATATATTTATGTTACAAAGTTTGTATTTGTTTACTAAAGTATCAATTAATTTTAAATACAATATTCTTTACATAATATATCTCAATCACTTGAAGCTAACATTAGATATGTTCGTTTTTCAGAGCGACGTGAAATATACTTTATAGCAATTATTGATGTATTGACCCAATATGGTGTTAAAAAACAGGTAACATTATTCAAGAAAGATTTATAAAAAAAATTTATTTTTGGTCATTTTAGGCGGCCAAAGCTGCTAAAACTGTGAAATATGGTAGTAATGTTGATGGTATTTCGACATGTGACCCCGACCAATACGCCAAAAGGTTTTTAGATTTTATGGATAAAGCTATAGAGTAGAAATATGTTGTTTAACTTGCAAGAAAAGAAAACTGAGACCGATATTTCATTATACATTAATATACATATTCGATATCTATGTACTACATATATTAAGTACGTCGCAAACACTATATATATATATATATCTATGCGTATATATATGTGTTAAAATATACGCATATGCATAAGAATGTTAATTCACACATATAGGTATATGTTGATTACTAATTTTAAATATTTTATAAAATAATTATGTATAAGTTTAAAATGCTTTAAGCATATTGCCAAAAAACTCATTCAATATTCATTATATTTATGCACTTCAAAAATGAATTGTGACTTTGTATGTAAAAGAACAGTAACACTCTTTGTGTAAAAAAATAAAGGATATCAAATTTACATACTACATATTCTTAGTTTTTTTGTGCTGACTTCAATTTTACTTTTAAATAATATGCGCGCAAGCATAATAATGTTTGTATAGTTGTTATGAAAATTATACTTTTTAAAGAAAACAAATAATTACGCCTTTGTTATTACCTTAAGTATATAAAGTTTATAATGCTTAACGTAAATTTTGTCAATGCGAAAAATTTATATTTATTTTCGTTTGATTTTGAATTTAATTCCTACATCTTAATGTTTTTATTGTTCTTTATTATTATTCAAATGATTAAAAAGACGGTCGTATTGAATCTAATAATCAAATTCGTAAAACACGTTTACTTATAGTCGTTGCTTTATTTTTTACATCGTATTGCTGAGTACAATCATCTGCATAAGTTTAGATGTGAAGACTTGAATATTCCACAATCGGTATCCATTTTCTTGTCTTGAATTAGTTACTCCTAAAATTAAATAAAGACGTGTACAAGATATCTGTCTACAAGATAAAAGCAAATCTGTCAAACTGTATCAAACGCTTTTAGCAAAAGCAAGGTCTACACTTCGCATACAGAGGCGCTTTTAATTAAGATCATTTAATTAAGCCCTCCGCAGCACCTCGAATATTTCACATCTTCTTGATGGGGACTCGCGTTTTGTACTGGATGTTTCGACTACACACTATTCCCTGTGGTTTTCCAACCTAACAACCAAAATCGATTAATCCTCTTTTGGTGTTGTTCATGTCGCGACTTCTTTTGATTTGAACAAGGCCGAGAAACAATTTCGCAGCATAATTATCAAAGCTGCCACCATAGCTGTTTCCGCAGGTAGGATAAAAATCATTAGACTAGGTTTTCCTAGTGACGAATTCTGAACAACAACACGTAAAATAGTGGGCGAATATCGCGTTAGTAAATGGAAGGAACATTTAGATAACTGCGACTCCCAAAATGGTTGTGGACTACCATTAAAGGACTTTCTAATCCTTCCCATTTCAACAACAAAACGATTTCATTTAATGGGATCACCTTCCCCGATCCAAAGCATTCTTTTCGTGCCCAATGCTTTTACCTCCCATGATACGCGCAGACATATTCCGGCGGCACCACGCTGTTCTTACCAGATGATGTACTTGATTTGATCAGACAAGCTAAAGCCTCAAAACCACTTGAACCTGATGGAATCTCCATGCTCATGCTCAAGAACCTCGGGATCTTTGGTATTTCAGTTGTGACACACATTTTAAACTCGTCCATCAATTCACACATCATCCCTAACATATAGAAGCCAGATAGAATAATTCCTTTGTTAAAACTGGGTAAACCGGCAGGTTTAGGTGAATCTAACAGACCGATTTCCTTTCTATTTCCAGTAGCCGAAGTTCTGGAGTTTTTAGTACTCAAACAGATACCTTCTCACATTCACCTAGCTCCTCGTCAACATGGTTTTTGTAAACGTCATAGTACCACTTCAGCTCTTTGCGAGATCACATCTCAAATCTTTAATGGCCTCAATCAAAATCGCCCGTGTGAAAGCACGGCGCTTGTTGCCCTTGATCTCGCAAAAGCATTTGACACAGTCTCCCATAGGACCCTGTTAAATGACCTGACCGAAACATCTATCCCTGACTCTACTAAGAGATGGTTCTGTAACTATCTTGTAGGCAGATCATCCTTTGTTGACTTTAGAGATAAAATGTCAAATCTAGGAAATTGAAACAAGCTGTCGTCTAGGGCAGCGTTCTTTCACCGATTTTCTTCAACTTATACATGCCTAAATTCACAGAACCCTGAGGGAGTCAGTGTCATAACCTACGCAGATGACTGCACAATTCTAACTACGGGCCAGGACCCTTTTGTACTGTGAAATAATTTAAATGCATATCTTCCATCATTGGCATAATTTCTGGTTGATAGAAATCTTCATCTATCACCAAATAAATCACCAGCCACCCTCTTTACTACCTGGACAAAAGAGGTTTCTTTGACTCTGCCCATAAATATCGATGAAACCACGATCCCCACCACTACTAAACCAAAAATCCTGGGTGTCGTACTCGATAGAATCCTAACTGATTACATACAAAGCAATAGGACGTCCTATTGCGGCCTATGCAGCTCCAGTATGAACCCCACAACTTTGCGAGACGCATTGGTTTAATATCTGATCTTATCAAAACAAGGCATTGCGGGTTGCAACATGACGCATGTTGACCACCTTCATGCAGAATCAAAAATGCCTCGTGTAAAAGAACATAATCAACTACTCTCCAAGCAATTTCTCCTTGCGTGCCACACAAATGGTCATACTTTCAGTAAATTTTATGTATCCGTAACCAGATTACCATATTTCGTTCTTACAGGTTGATGCTCAGGCTTAAAGTCTTGAGTCAAATGGTTGACATCATTCCTGTTTGTATACACCTTGATTTCCTCTCGCTCGCACTTTCCTTGATCTCGTTTCTTCAATCTGGATAGGCACCTCTTTAACTTTCTTATCTTCCGTTGTTCGATACGGATAATTAAATGTTAGAATGTTTGCTAATGTATAATAATAATAATGTATTTTTACCCTTGTTTTTTCTTAGTTTTATAATTCTAGGAATTTAAGCGATAACAGATTTTAGAGGATATAATAATAAACTATAATAATATAATATAATAATCTAATATAATAATCTAATATAATAATATAATAAAATAATTCATGTTCATGATTGAACATTCTGCCGGGAGCCATAACTTAGAGAAACTATTAATCCTCACCTTATATATACATTTTATGACATAAATAGTTATAATAAAAAAATTTTAAGAATAATAATATGATTAATAAGATAAAATAAAATTTAAGAAATATATAATAATATTAATTATTAAAGATGTCATCATGAAGTGTTGTAGTAGTTGTAGTTTGAATAATTCCTGTATAAATTTTTTAGACCATCCTTCTTTTATATTTCAGCTGCTAGCGTTAAATATAGCGTTAGAAAATATATTATTACTGCTTACCAAAGTAGCAAAGGCCTTGTTGTCGTTATCAAAAGTATTGAGTCAGATGTAGAACCTATTGAAATCACAAATGCCCTAAGCGAAAAAAACTTTAGCGCTAGAACAGTTAAATATAGGTAATAAAAATAAAATCCCACAACCTGTAACGACAATTTTCCGTAGCTCTGTTTGCCGGGGTAATACTCAGGGGTTGGTCCTGGGTCGTTACAATAAAATTTATAAATGTTATAAGGCCGTGTTTCAAATTTTGTTTTAATTTTCTTTTCTTTATTAATATATTTATTTTAAAACTAACAATCGTCTTAATTATGCTATGTTTCTATCCTATTACAGGATATTGACTTTAATATTGATATTGATATTGCTATTGATGTTGATAGTAATTGCCTTTCTTCGATGCCAGCGTATTGTTCTTTGATGGTTTTGTGTATTTCAGCTGATTTCCTTTCTTCTATACCTGTTGTAAGGGGTTATTAATGTTAATGTTTAGACGTGTACACGCCTATATAAGTTTTAGTGACAAAGGATCAACGTGTTCACGCTTATCCACAGTTTGGGTAGTAAATTATAAACGTGTTCACGCTTATTATTTTGCTGGAGAAAGGATTTAACGTGTTCACGCTATTCAAGGATTATAAACGTGTTCACGCTTATGCAAGGATTTGGTAGCAAATTATAAACGTGTTCACGCTTATATATTTGCTGGGGAAGGGATAAAAGATATATATAAAAAAAACAAAAAAATAATATAAAGGTGCTTTTTTATACTTAGTTCCGGTAATGTTTCCCAATGCTTCACTTGGCGAGTGTATTACGAACTCCGGTGACCTCAAGCGTCGATCACTAACTGCCTTCTTCTAAGTAAATGCGTCTTCTTATATACGCATCAGACCAAACTTTAACGTAGCGCAAAGCTTAGTTTACAGCTGGCTTGGATTTTTGACGTCGTTGCTGTTTTGCGCTTTCGCCGTAGTTAATATGCGCGCGCATCAATTTTTATACAAAGCTCTTTGCACAAAAGCTTTTTTTCACGTTTCTTGTGTTGTGCATTTGTTTTGTTTTGAAACGTGCTTATTTATTAAAATAAAATAAATATTAAAAAGTATTAGTTTAAATAATAAATAAATAAGGTAGGTACAATATTTATTTATTTGAATATATTGTTGCGAAGATACAATTCGATTTTGAGCGTCTCATGGAGCGAGTTTTAAAAGGTATAACAGTAAATTGCCAAAGCCCATCACCAATGCTAAATGTAGTCTTTTCCTTATGTTCCTCCTCAAGTTCCACTTGCCCATAACCGCTTCGTAAATCAAGTGTTGAAAACCATTGCGCACCAGTTAACGTATCGATGGTATCATCAATCCTGGGCAATGGATAGCTGTCCTTCTTGGTCACATCATTCAACTTGCGATAATCTACGCAAAATCTGGTGCTTCCATCTTTCTTCTTCGCTAACACCACTGGCGAACTCCATAGACTTCCACTGAGCTTAAGAAAAACGCAGAGCAGATGAAGGAACATGCAGAGCAGACTTCCACTGAGCTTAAGAAAAACGCAGAGCAGATGAAGGAACATGCAGAGCAGACTTCCACTGAGCTTAAGAAAAATGCAGAGCAGACTTCATGTGAACTCAAAGATTTAAAAAAAGGGTTGCACCAACTTAAGAAAAACGCAGAGCAGATGAAGGAACATGCAGAGCAGACTTCCACTGAGCTTAAGAAAAACGCAGAGCAGATGAAGGAACATGCAGAGCAGACTTCCACTGAGCTTAAGAAAAATGCAGAGCAGACTTCATGTGAACTCAAAGATTTAAAAAAAGGGTTGCACCAACTTGCCGAGATAACAGCAGAGGCGCAAGAAAAGTTGTCGAAAAGGGTTGATGAAACGAACCAGAATTTCCAAGAGTTAAATAAGAAGGTATATCAGTTAGAAAATCGATTAGATGATTTGTCGTTGAATCGTCATTCGTTAGCGAGTATTCGCCAGACTGGGGAAGTAAAATTAAAA